ATGACAACATTACACGTTTGTTTCGTATTCTGCATCAATACGGGTGACTTTTGACCTTAAAGGTGGTGGACGATAATTCGTCCCTATCAGGATCTGGTGATTGGATCTCCTCCTCCCCAGTCGCCCTTTAAAAGGGGGAGTATAAAAAGAATTTTCTCCATCCTTACCGGGTCCCTTCGTGTTGTAAATGGCTGGTAGTTGGGAGGTTCAGTGCTCGAATTCCGGCCGAGGACACTGCATATTTTTTACGTCTCCTGCATCGATAAACCTAATGACTCTACAACGTTTTTACGTGATAGAAGCCACATACGGTGCGAAAAGGATTGTCACAAGTGAGTCGTATAGCTGAGTAGATGCAAATTTCAATACTCTGGTAACATTTTTGAGTCCCGCATGCTACAAAAATTTATTTCTGAAATTAATTTCAAAACGTTTGAAAGTTGTTGCTATTAAAAGTGATATTGTAGGGCAAAGCATTCAATTTTTGATTTCTTCGATGTCTTCCATATGGCAGAGAGGAGAGATTATTCAACACGAACCCTAATTCCTTGGAACGGGCTAACTGCATGGTGGTTTTCGTGTTTTTCCCTTGTATGATGTGACTACGAACAAGTTTGTCTGAACAGGTTTTCTTCCATGAACGTATCTCATCCCGTCGGCAGATAAACCTCGCTGCCTTTGTCATAATTTAGTGAATAAAACCAATCTTTTTTGTAATTTCCCTAACACTTTTCAAATTAAAAATATGTTTTTTTAATAGTATTTAAAACACGTGGGAGATAGAAACATTACAGAATGCTTCTTTAATCTCTTCTCGGGGCTAGAATAATTCAGTAAAGAAACTGAGATAGTATTTGCATCGTTTGAGTTGATTTCACTGGTAATGACATATGAAGGATATTATTAGGCTTAGAAGCAAATGTTAATCTCTCCCCCCCCCATTTTATCTTAGAGTGACTATTCAAATATTTTCTTGGCGTACAGACTTTCTCATCATCAGTAGCTTGTTGACTAGGAGTAGCATTCATTTGACTCTCACTCTCTCCACTCTATTTTTCCCCAAATTTCTTATTTCTAGGAATGAGTAGTTTTAAGAAATTTTTGTAGTGGATTTTGTGTCATACTTTCAAGACTTTATACGGTTCAGTCGCTATACAATCAATATTTCCGTAGCAATAGAAAACAAAGCTGCGAATAATTAAAAACTGAGTAATAGGGAGTTCAGAGGGAAAAACCACACTGATTTAGTTAACATTTGTAACAATTTTACTCAAAAAGATAAATTAAATAACTAGTACTGATTCATAATAGCTTTTTTCCCATAATTCGTTATGGTTTCTATTGAACAACAAGGGATGCAGAAGTGTAAATGGATACTGATTTAAACAGCCGTAAGAAGATGGTGTGATAAAAAGCTAATACATTTAACAAATTTCAAAAATTCGTGGAAAGTTTTCTCCAGCGTAAAATAAATATCTATAGTTAATAAGAAATAGAGGTTTAGAACAACCTACTGAATTTTCACCGTTAATAAAGTATATAGTTTTCAACTTAGAAATGTGTGACATATTGAAACAAAAGAAAGTTATTTTGATAAGCCATATGGATTCTGATACTATTGTTCAGTTAAGAAAAAAAACTCAAGAACGTAAATCTCAGAAAAGTGAATTTGTCATCATTTGAGCTGGAATTATTCGTCTTAACAAAATGAAACTGCTATTTAATAACGTCAGAATGAACATTGGTGCACAAAATGAATTTTCCTTTTCCATCATCCTAATTGAAGATAAAAGCAATATCTAGAAGTTAAAGCAAAAATGCACGGAACTACATGTTCAAAGCAATGCTCTCTGACTTCAGTTTGCAAATATTGCAGTGGTCAACGTTAAATCGTTTTGAGACCTTTTGCTGATTTTGCATGTATATAACATGATAATTAACCAGTTTCTTTTACAGTGCTCTCCTGAAGACATCTCTCCAGCAAAGAGCCCTCGTATGCTTTACCGTAATCAAATTCTCCATTCAATCCCTTGAAATCATTTGAAGTATCCTAGCAATGGAAATTAGATCGACAATTTTCGCCGTTTTAAAAAAGAAAGAATATGATTTTCTCGGTCTGAAATTTCATCCGAAAAACCTAATGAAATTTATAGACAGTACCTATCACAGACTATTAGCTATTATTAAAAACAAAGCCCGTAGATAAAATACTAAATAAAATGAAACAAAAATTTAATTTCATTTCATATGTTTTCTCTTTTTTACTGGCATTTACAGATATATTTCATTATAAAATACAACCAATGCAAGCAAAAAATGCGTTTTAACTTTTCTGTATATTTATATTACACAAGTCTGCACTAACTTTACACAAGTCTTATTTAAATGTTGATTTGATTTCTAATACGTTTCAAAATCAAATTGAGTTTGTAAGTTTTCGCAAAACTATATATAATACCCGTGTTAAATTTAAATACATTAGTTATTTTAAATTATTTGTTTCGTATAAACGTGCCGGTTTCTGTGTATACTACAAGCACTTAATTCACTTAAGCAGATGCTGTCGCAGAAATAATTGAATGCCTTTAAGTAGCATTTTGGTAATATTTCGATGGAGTTGCATACTCTGAAGCGTGAATGAATGAATGACAGGAAATGATGCATGTAATGAAGGTTGTTAAAATGTGTAATTGAGAGCTATACGATCACCATTTTATCTCTTTTACTGCAGGGTTAAATTAGAATCTTATAAATGTGCCGGTCTCTGTGTATAGTACAAGCGCTTAATTCACTTAAGCAGATGCTGTCGCAGAAATGATCGAATGCCTTTAAGTAGCATTTTGGTAATACTTCGATGAAGTCTCATACTCTGAAGCGTGAATGAGTGAATGATAGGAAATGATGTATGTAATTAAGGTTGTTAAAATGTGTAATTGAGAGCTATATGATCACCATTTTATATTTTCTATTGCAGGGTTAAGTTAGAATCTTGATTATAAACAGGTATTTTGCTACAGGAAAACCTATGAAGTAAATTTAGTTAATTTCCTTCAGATAAAGAATTTAAAGACATAATTCCCCAACTTGGTACTTCCGGGCAAAAAACATAATTTCATCATATTAAATTTTTATTTGTGTGAATTCCTGTGGAGACTCCAGGATAAAAACAAAACCCCATTTGGACGGTTTTAGTCACCGTTGTTGTCAGTGCTATTAAAATTAATGTAGTCTTATTTCTAAAGTAAATATTACCAATAAAAAAAACTTAAAGTGTCCCATTCTGTTTTAGTTCTTTTTTTATTGAAATAATTAATCTAACAGATATATTTATTATACTTAGAAAATATTTATCGCCTTATCAACCTGTAATGGAAAATGGATCCTTCTTAACAACAATCCTTCTCTGTTTAATACGTCATTATTGGCAGCAGAATACCACAAATTAAATATATTGGCCCGTTTACCATCGATATTTAACAGTGACAAAACAGACAGGAAAAAAAGGGTTTTATATTTCAAGCAGGTTTGTAAGGAGAATAATATTTCATGTTCCTTTTTTAAAATTCATTACTAACTGAAATTTATGGGATATTTTTTTCGTTCTCTTTCACGGTGAGTTTAATTATCGAGCTTTAAGAATACATTCCTAATCAAATAACGTTTCATGCATCTTTCTACAGCTAGGCAGCTCCAGCAGCAAATTAAAAATTACGTGCAGCTGTAAAGGAACCCAAAATGGGGATACCAAAGAATATTCTCAATAAAGATTATAAGCTAAAGTTAAATTAACATAAAATAACTTTTACTCTGATTGATAAGCTCTTTCATGGATTTGAATTAAAAAAGCAACACAGCTTCAGTAATTTCATAGGAAGGATCGAGTAACTGATACAGCCTTGCAAACAGAAAACGGCTTTTCAGACAAAAGACTCGAATTCAGACTCTTGATGATACACACGTGATCAATAGAAACTGCTAATAGTTAAACCTTAAAAATGGCTGGCAGTTTCCTTGACCAAGAAATTACAAGAGGGGTAGAAAATGAGGAGGAATGAGATCACTAAAAACCAGTTTCTTGGGAGCCCATATTATTTTCCACCAAAATATGCGGAAGTATTCCACAGAAGAATGTGTTTTTGATGTAATAAATGGAGGTCAGGCTCGTCTTTTTCATTGACCCCTCAACTAGCCACACCTGACGAAAACAAACTTGGGGGGGGGAGATTGGTTTGGGGGGAGGGAGTTCAGCGACCTGATGCGACTTTGATTAAATGCGTAGATTCTGTCTTTTGCTTTAGATACCCAACTGTTTGAGTTTAAAAATACCGCAAATGATCATATAAGAACCTCATTTAAAGACCTCATGCGACCGGGTTCTGTCATGTTTCCTTAAACTTAAAAACAAATTTCAGTTTCATAAATTTTTTTTTAATATTTTCCTCCTAAAGTTAAGTATGCGTTAAAAATACATTTAAGTGTGTCTTTGAATATTAAACAAAATGAAAAATATAAATTGAAGAGATTTATTATTCAGTCTAAAGCTAGGCAACTTTAATTTACAATAGTTAGTCGGAATATGGCAATTAAAAAAAAGGGGATAATCGTGAAATCACGAAATCAAATTTACATTTTCATTTCATCTTGTACCCTATTTTTCTTTTTTATTTAATAAGAACATACCACGAGTTATGCTAAAAGGTTATTTCGCCCAGCTGATGAAAATAATATACAAAATTTAAACCTAAGCAACATTTAATTGATCATTGGTATAATATATTACCAATATATGCTTTATTGCTAACATTTTATCATTCTTTCCAATGTCAATAATAAAAATTAAAGCTTATTCTGAATTCATAGTCATGTAAAAATATCACAATAAAAGAAAGAAGCTAGCACTACTTAAATACGTTTAAATTGCATATTGTGGATAATGTTAATAGTAATTATAAAAATATTCCTAAAACGTAAATGATACGCAAATATTGAACAGAGCTTACCCGAAGAATCACATCCAATCGCATCAGGATATAAGAGACAAATGTTTTGATGTTGCTTCCAGAATATATGTCGTAAACCAAACAAAGAACTTCTCAAAACATATGTTATCTTGGATTGGGTTGATTGCATATTTTACGCTTTTTAACTGAGTTGTCACTTGAGTAATTGTTGCAACAACGTTTGATCAGCATTATAGCATGAAGCGGAAACTGGTATTTTTGTAGCCTTTTCAACTAGGTGTGACATAACGTAACAATTCGGGTGAATCTTTTCCTTACATGTGAATTCGACTTCTACTACAGGTGATCGATATGACCTTCTGACTATTAAAAGTCGTTATTTGCCACTGTAGTTAAATGGAGGTGTAACATGAAAAAGCCATATGATTTTTAAAATTCTATTTGATGTTCAAAATGTACCTGTTGAGGAACTGTATTGATGGTTAGTTAAAATGAAGACTACAGTTGGAACTTCGTATGTGATTAAATTTGTTTTCATCAGAAGATACACAATGAGAATTTTTATGCGTTCATGTGTTTTTAGGCCTACACTGTCCGAGCATTATCCATGCTTCCTTTTACTATTTTGTCATAACATCGATAATATGACGCCTCAGTTTTGTCGGCTTAACAGTAGAGAAAGGACAGTCGGAAAAAATTAAAGGATTTTTACCGCTTTCACTTTTTCTAATAAGACATTTGATTTTATGCCCCCCTAATTGTCAAACTATGAATGGGAAATTAGTAGGAATATTTATTGATGCTTCTTTCAGCTTTCATTGCCTACAATTAGTTTGCTGCAAGTCGTACTCTCTGTTCAATATACATACAGACCGTTTCTTCTTCAAGAAAACGCAAATTCCTTATGTAAGGATTAAGTTACTAAGCAAACTTTTCAATAGTTTATCGATAAACTCAGAAGGATAATAGCTCTGAATGACATATAGTATGAGGAATTCCTAACAGCATGATTTCATATTATTTTATAAAATTTTACTCCAATAAAATCAGTGCTCTGTTAATGCAATCAATTTAGCAAATAATGTGACTAGACAAGCAATAGGCTACATTATTTTATTTCAGAAAATTTTAATAATATCAAATATACAACTGACACAAGCAACAATAATTCAATGTTTCATAATGACACTTTTAGTAAGTCAAGACAAATGAGATAAGTCACAACAATATTATTACATTTCTAGTATTTCCTTATTCAGTTACTTTTTCTTGCGTTGACGTTCAGTGCATCTTTGGAAGATTGTTCTAAAAATTATAACATTTGTGTTGCCGATGCATTCCTAAACATTCTACTAATTCAAATCAACAGACTTTCTTGTCCGTTACTATACATTGTTCCGTTAATATACAATGTTTTCATTTTTCAGAAACTTTACATTGTATTTTTAATCTTTACATTTCGCTTTGTGTTTTTGATTATTTTTGTTTCTGAAATCCAGTGAAATGTTTTTGTTCTCAAATGACTACAGGAATCTTCACCATACTTTACTCAGACTCATGGAGCCTCAGCTTTACGAGTAAACTCGTAAAGATTTCAAATCTGGGAATAATGTTAAAAATATTTCTTCATTCTTAACATTTATTTATTATTAACACTCTGGCAACCCCTCAGTATAATACATCAAGTAATCTAAGTAAACAACATTAACTCATCGCAACTTTTGTAAATGATTAAAAGCTGATTTAAGCTTCTGACGTAACTTAAATTCTTTTGACATATAAAAGATACTTACGACTTATATCCGTTTGGCTAAATTTTCTAGTTTATTTTAGATCTAAATCAGTCTATTTGTAAGGATTTTATGTTAACTAACCAATTATTTTATGTTACGAACATTTACTATCAGTTATCCCTTTCCGCTTTCCTGCCAGACAATGCAGATTTTAGCTCGAGTGTATTTAAGCGAGGTTTTGAGGTTGTTTTAGTCAGAGAGTATTCCACCTGCTGAAGACTATGTTGCTAGTTGATATCCTATAATCTAACTGCGGCATTCTTTTATTCTTATAGATTGTGCTGTCCTTCTGTAATTAATTAATAATTAAGCGCCAAATTATGCGCTTAATTACTTCTTTGCAACTTTTGGCTAACGAAGATTTAGTTTAAATTTAAAATTATATTATTTTTATTCCACGCCATAAATACTGGCTGGTTTTGTAAGCACCAGGTATGCCTCCTGTTCAGTTTATTAGAGTTCTTAATAAAAGGTCTTTTACACCCTTAGTACGTTTCTGTTTGCTTACCTAGACATAGAGATAAGTGGCATAGATCTGCACAGAGTCTTGACTTAGTACGTGTTACCAAAACAAGTGATACTACATATTTGCGATGGGATTAAATTTTCGATGGAATATATTCCTACGAGAAATACACTGTTGTATTTGTGTTATCAATTCTTACTTCGAAAATTCAAATTTTAGAGTGTGTGGCTTAATGTTTTTCGGAGCAAAAGTCTTTAATCGTTATCAACTTTAAAGAGGAAAACATAATGGTCTTTCAATGTATCTCTGCATCCTAATGGAAAGGGATAAGATGATAAAGTTAACGGTGATACCTCTTTCATCTTATCCCTTTCAATTAACAGAAAAAAAAAAGTTCCAAACTTTTTACAGACCTTAAAAATCCTGTGTCCGTCCACCATAACGCGGGAAATGTATACCAGAAGAAATGTATACAGCCTTCACTCATAATGTCTTATCCAATGAGTGATAAGCCCTGGTAAGACGCTGTTTCGTTTTCATAAAATCTCGAAGCAGCTACATACATCAAAGAGAGTTTTGCACCACTGATGTTCCTACAAATCAGCGATCCAAAACGTGAAGGCACACATAACTAATGAAAATATAAATAAAACTATATAATTCTACAAAAGATTTATTGAATACTTTTTCAAGCAACTGGGAAAAAACTGAGAAATTAAAAATTAGAATTCATAAATAAGAGCTGCATCTTCGTGACCATGTTCTTTGCGTTCATTACCGTGTAAAATTTCCCCTAGTGAAGAAGTAAGCTTGAACTCTTCTGCGCATCATAAAGATGGGCTTATTTGGTTGGTATTGGTTCAGTAATTCGTATTTTGGGCCGCATTTCTTCGAACATTTTTCCAATGGGCCCGAAAACGTGCAAAGGGTATTAAACAACATTCATAAGCATATCACAGCTGCGTTCTATAGGGTTTATATCCGGAGAGCACGGCAGCCAGTCCACTCAAGCGATGGTCTCCTGCGAGTATTCATAAGGACTCACTCGATGAGCATGGTCATTATTATGCTTCATATCATACCTGTTACCAAAGTAATTTTTAATTGATCTAACAGTGTGTTATGTAATGTGGTTCTGCAACTCACATATTGTTACTAATTGCGGTCACAGGTGTCCTGCGACCGTGCTTGCTGCACACGGATCTGAATGTTCCTTATGTGATATAACGTTGCTAGACAATCTTCACGTTCAATGAAAATGGTTTATAGTTCGTAATTTAACGTATGTGGAACACTGAATATCAGAGTCATCTTAAGAAGAAGAAGGGCAAGACGTGCATCCTAAACAACTGTTTGTCTTGCTTCCGCCACTTTTTACAATCATATATATAATGTGCGCCATTTCAAAATTGATCAACATCACAATATATACATATATAAGATATAAGAAAATACGATAGCTGCTTTAAAAGTAATTGGCGACCTCAAAATTAAAGATTCTAGATTTGGTGCTCTGCCCCTAAATTCATCTGTTCTCCCAAATTCGAGATCCTTCTATGTTATGTAACAATCTAAGATTAACCAATCATGGCCTGTCTCTACAATTACATCAGACATAATATAAATACTCTTGGCACAAAAGACTACGTCATTCTTCTCCTAGCTTCCGCCACGCCAACATTAATGCTGCTTTGCTTCTCCGTTATAAATGCCTATATCATTTCTTTAAAAAAACCAATGTACATAGTAATTTATCTCTTTAATTATGATTGAATAAGTGTCTACCTAACTAGTTAGATATGCGTGAAAATAAAGATTGGTGTATCGAAATCCAATTCGTTACCTTCATCTGTATGACTTAACTATAAGCCATGACTACTACCGAAAGCTGTTAAGAGTTCCAGTGTCTTCTTCTGCACATTAAAAATATGGCATATATATATATATATATATATATATATATTATGATGCTTACCAATTATATATATATATATATATATATATATATATATATATATATCGTTTCATAAAAAAATAGTACAGTTTAATCAAATTTAAATAATTCTCTTGCGCCAATACTGCAAGGAATTTGCCATTGCTGCAAGCAAGGAATATTCATGGATTTTGATTCTTGCACTTAATTTACATATGCTGTTAGAATTTAAATGATATTGTAGATTAGTTCGCAGCAATAATTAATCATTTATTAGTTTGCAATTAAAATTTTATATTTAAAATTTAAATTTTAATTTACTTTAAATTTGCTTTTTACGAATAGAAAATGTTTGTTAAATTTATACACTGACTACCAATAAGTATTTGGACACCTATGCAACTGACGATATCTGCGGTCCTAAGGTACGTTACGGACTCTGCCGGTATATATCGTGTAGGAAACAGCATTGGCTTTAGTAGCATGCAAGATGCCTCGCAGTTCGGAGCTCTCTGATTTCGAGAAAGGTATAATTATCCGGTATCACAAATGTGGCCGATCCTTAAGGGACATATCTAGCGATGTGAAGTACCCAAAATCGACAGTGGCCTATGTGATTAAGAAGTGGAAGGTGAGCGGTGATTGTCGGAATGTGCCCCGAGTCGGCAGACAACGAAACTGGGAGATAGAGACCGACGAGTGCTGTCCAGAGAAATTCGGAAGAACCGCACCCAACCGATGGCCCTCATCCGCGAGGAGTTTCAACAGGCATCCGGGAGTATTATTTCAATGAATACCATCCGTAAGGAAGCACATCTGCTTGGTTTTCATGGTCGTGCTGCTGTCCATAAGCCTTTGATCACAAAGTCCAACCGCGCTGCTCGGTTAATGTGGGGGCAAAGCACATCGAAATTGGACCGTAGATCAGTGGAAACGGATTCTCTGGAGTGACGAATCAAGGTTCACCCTTTA